TGACCAGCATTATCAACTAAATTGACTTAATTGGCATTATCAAAAATAGAATACACATTTTTTTCTAATGTGCACAAACATTTACTAAGAGAAACCAAATTCTGGTACATAAAACAAACTAGGAACAAAAGAGAACTTCATCAGACTGATAAAGTATATCTATTTAAAATATATAGCTAATCTCAGACCTCACAATAGAAAACAGAATACTTTCCTCTTAAGATTAGTAACAAGGAAAGAATATTCACTCTCATCACTTCTATTCAATATTGTACTGGAGGTTATAATCATAAAGCAATAAAAAGAAGTAGAAGACACCCAAATTGGAAAGGGAGAATTAAAATTATCTTTATGTACAGATGATATGAAAGTATATATATAGAAAATCCTATAGAATCTAAAAAATAAAATAAAATAAATCCCACTAGAACTAATAAGTCAGTTTAGCTAGATCACAGGATATGAAATAAATATACAGAAAGCAACTGTACTTCTATATATTAACTACACATATTAGAAATTAAAATTAAAACAATTTATAATAATGTCAATAAATACAAAATGGGTACACTGAAAACTACAAGCTACCACTAAGAAAAATTAAATAAATTATCAATATAAGAGATATTCCATTATAAACAAAATATTAGCAGTCTTTTGTAGAAATTGACAGAAGGTTTCTAAATTTCAAAGCTGCAATTTGCATTACCTGATTTCAAGACTTATTATAAAGCTACAGTAATCAAAACAATGTGGTATTGGCCTAAAGATAGACAAATAGGTCAATGGAACAAATAGACTAGAAATAGATATACACATCTATAGCCAACTGGTTTTCAGCAGAGAAAAGATAATTTTTAACAAATGGTATTATAAGATTGGAGAGCCATATTGAAAAAGAGAGTTTTTTTTCATACCTTAGACTATTTGCAAAAAGATAAATCCAGTTAGATCATATATCTAAATGTAAGACCTAAAATTATAAAATTTTCAAAAGAAAACAGAAAAAATCTTTCAGTTCTTCAGCTACAAAAGAGTACTTAATTACAATACCAAAAGCATGATCCATGAAAGAAAAAAATATATCAGTAAATTGGATTCATTGAAATTAATAACTTCTAGTCTTTGAAATAAATTGTTTACAGAATTAAAATACAAGCCACAGTTTGGGATAAAATATTTTCAAATTACATAATTGTTAAAGGTCTCATGTCCAAAATGTACTTTAAAAAAATAAAATTCTTAAAACTCAATAATAAGAACACAAATAATCCAATTTAAAATAATAACAAAAGATTTGGCCAGATACTTTACAGAAGATGATAATACAGAAGGCAAATATGTGCATGGAAGGAAGTTCAACATCATTCATCATTAGACCACACTAAACCACAAAGAGTTACTACTGCATACTTATTAGAATGCCTAAAATTGACCATGCCAAGAGTTATTAAGGATGCAAAGCAACACAAAGTCTAATACATGTCTGGTGGGAATGTAAAATGGTGTAATAACTTTGGAAACCAGTTTAGCGCTTTCTTCAAAGTTAAATCTGTACTTCTATGACTCATCCAGGAGAAATAAAAACATATGCCCATCCAAAGAACTATATATGAATGTTTACAGCAGCTGTATTCACAGTTGACAAAAACGAGAAACAACCCAAATGTCTATCAACAGATCAATGTATGAATTCATGGCACATCCTCACAATGGAATACTAGAGAGCAATAAAAAGAAATCCACTATTAATACATGCAACACCATGGATGAATTTCAAAAGCGTTATGCTAAGTGTAAAGAGCCAGACACGAAAGCCTACATGTTATTATATGGTCTATTTATATGACATTCTGAAACAAGTAAAACTATAAGGACAAGAATCAGATCAGTGGGTCCCTGAACTGGTGGGCGGGGAAGAAGATTGACTACAGTGGGGTTAGAGGGAATGTTTGTGAATTAGACACATTCATGAAAAGTCATGCAACTGGAAAAGTGAATTAAACTGTATTCTGTCTCAATAAACTTGATTTTTAAATTAAAAACAAATTAAAAGACAGTTTTTTATCCACCCTCCACCCGAACTTAGCCCACAATAGATGTTCTGTAAAAAAATATTGAGTAAACAGTAAATGTGCTTTCCCCATCTCTAAAAGGACAGTAACAAGCTAATCTCTTTCTGTCTCCATTTCTACTATGAATCCCAAGATAATAATGCTCAATCTCCCTTACAGAATTGGATCAAGAATTGAACAAGGTAATGGGTGTGAAAAGCCATTGCAGACATTAAGCTATTATTACCCAAGTTTACACGTTGTACACTGTGGTTCATTTGCTCTTGGGAGCCAAAGAACCTCCCGGGTTGAAGACCCTGATCTTGTGTCCAATATTTATTCCAGCCAATCATTTCACCAGTCCCCACTGAGTTTCTTCTGCCCACCCTTCAGCCCCCACATCCACTTCTGAAACTTGGAGAAAGACACAGAGGTTGTCCAAATGCTGCCGAGCAAGGGCCATTATTGCTCTTGAGGAATCCTTCAAGCCTGCTTGAGACTCTCCCACAAGGGAGCATAAATTGGTACAGGTCCCAACAAGTGATTGAAAAATAGAGAGAATGACCTAAAATTAAAATATTTTTAAGTACTTACTTTGAGTAAAGGGGGAACATCAAGTCTATTTGGGTTTTCAGAGGCTCAAAATTTAGAGGAAGATTGAACCAAATCTACCTGGCGCCATCTTATAGAGGAATGTCCTTCACAGACCTCATGGTAATGAGTACACTGAACCTCATGTCATGCATTCCTTCTCCAAGTCCTTATGGAGGGCTGCGTGGGTAGAGGTGTTTTTCCAGGAAACATGGTATACCAGTGAAAAAAGGGAGCACACCTGCCCCTGCAGAGCTTCTGTTCTTTAAATGATTATTAGAATAGAACAAATTAGAAAGGTACTTTATCCAATGTTTGTCTTTTTTTTTAAGATTTTATTTATTTATTTGAGAGAGAATGAGAGAGAGAGCACATGAGAGGGGGGAGGGTCACACGGAGAAGCAGACCCCCTGCCGAGCAGGGAGCCCGACGTCGGACTCGATCCCGGGACTCCTGGATCATGACCTGAGTCGAAGGCAGTCGTTTAACCAACTGAGCCACCCAGGCGCCCCTATCCAATGTTTGTTTGCCCATTGCTTTGAAATGTTACTTTTTGGCCAAAAGTAGCACAGGATAGGAATGTCAAACAACAAAATCATTCAGTGTACCCTTAAAAGGCCTAAATTATAACAAAAAGCATAAATATCTTCAGTATTTGCTCTGTTTGACCACATGGCCAAGTCCAATATTTATAAGAATTGCCTTAGGGAGCAAGCCTTTCTGTCATATGCCCACCACACGGGCTACTTGGGAGGCACAAGCAGATGATGTGTGCACGGAGGGAAAGTGGCCAGTGCAAGCTGTCAGGCCCTTCACGTGCAAGCCTGCTCTGATGTAGTTTTACAGGGAATTCCTTCATACTCTGAGTTTGAGGAACCATCCAAAACTATCACTGGAACAAAAAAAATCACACAGCAAATTTTTAAGCATTTTTAAGTATACATATGATATAAATATGGCTATATGTGTTGGTATGTGAATATCTATATATAATACATATATGGTATATTAGTGATAATGCAAAGTTATAAAAGACATATATGCCTGATGCTTTTTCTGAGGCCGTTTGGGTTTTGATGGCATTTTTAATCTTGAGACTAATTAGAGCTAGCAGGTATTTTTGTAAAGGTACTAATATAATTAATATTCAGCATCTGATCACAATCTTCTAATATCTAGTTATTAGAAAGTGACGACCTCCAAGGACTTTTTCTTTTTTAAAAAACTATTTTATTTATTATTTGAGAGAGAGAGTGCGTGAGAGAATAAGAGCAGGGGGAGGTCAAGTGCGAGAGGGAAAAGCAGACTCCCCTCTGAGCAGGGATCCCAACATGGGGCTCGATCCCCCCAAAATCATGACCTGAGCTGAAGGTTGATGCTTAACTGACTGAGCCACCCAGGAGCCCCCTGCAAGGACTTTTTCAACACCCACAGTGGACAGGGCCTTTGCAATCCTAAGGACTCTTGGCAACCCACATGTAGGGAGCCTTCAGAGGCTCACTCCACTAAACCCTTCTTCAACTGCAGACCTAGAATTCAACACAGGAGCCAGGACTGGGAAAATATGTCATCTGTCCCTCTATTGCTCAGGACATGAATTATTCGAAATCTCATTCCTCTTTACCAATAATTTTGTTTATTATTTGCTTCTCTCAGCTTGGCAGGAACAATCTGTTTACTTTCTATCCCCTGCTAATACCATTTTGTCATATTTGGGTTCAGTGGTAATATTCCTGTATTTAGATCTCTCGATACTACCCAAAATATTCCACCTCAGAACAATTTTCATTGAATTTTTTTTTAAATGTACTTTCTCTCAATCTCTCCCCCACCCCACTCCCAAACACACATTCACATTGGGTTCAATCAATGATCTTTTACAATTGACGGACATTCACTACCTGCATTTTTGAATGATGAATGAATTTTATGACCTATTTTGTTGACCAAAGCCTAAAACAAAGGCAAAATTATCTGAAGCTATCTTCTTTACAACATGTAGTTAAGCATAAATATTTGAATTCATTTGCACCAATTTCTATTCTAAATTGTACCAATCCATTGACTAGAAGAATAAAATTCTTTAAACTTCATTGATATCATTTTTTTCTGTAACCAGTATTAAAATTATGGTGTGCAATACATCTAGAAGAGTGTAGACAATCAGAGATTGTTGAAAAGAAAAAAACTGAAGGAGCACCTGGGTGGCTTTGTCAGTTAGGTGGCCAACTCCGGATTTTTTCTCATGATCTCGGGGCCGGGCCCCAAACTCAGTGAGGAGTCTGCTTCAGGTTCTCTCTCTGCCTCTCCCTCTGCTACTCCCCCACTAAGTAAATAAAAAAATATATATATATATTTTTTTCTTCCAAAGTCCTTTATTGGGCCGGCAAGGCCAGGAGCTGCCCTTGGAGTGGGGTCCCAGTCCCAGTCTGGAGTCTCAGGGTCTATGGTGCCCCTGCCCCTGTTCCTGACCGGGGCAGGTGGCCTCTTCTGACAGGCTACTTGGTTCGCTCCTTCAGGTACGCCCAGCCCTCCTTGGAGTACTTGCGGGCCTTGGAGGGGGCCGCCGACAGGGCCGACATCACCGTAATGATGCCTGAATTCCAGGTGTCGCGGATGTGAAAGTTAAACTTTGGAGGGGCTGGGAGCTGGGGCATCTTCAGACCGGTCTGCTCACACACGTACTGGCCGAACTGGTACATGGCTGGGGGGACTACCTCCTCAGCCTTCTGAAGGACAGCCTGGCTCTTGTCGCTTGGCCCCAGCAACTCCTGGTCATACACCAGGTAGACGGCACCCCCGGCCACACTGCCCTTGATGAGGAACCTCATCAGCGACCACACTCGGGGCACCATGGTCCGTAAATAAAAAAATATTAAAAAAAACCTAAAAACTGGGGACACATGAGATACTTAGGGATCATTAAGATCATTCTTTATTAAGATAACCAGTGGGTATTCCCATCAAAAGAAGAATGCCATCAAGTCAATACCATCCTCTGTTCCCTTTATGTATGTGAAATTCTCATTACATCCGATCTGAATATCTGTCTACATGGGGAGGATGGACCAAAATTCCCTCTACAGCTCTTTACCGAATCCCTTAAACTCATTATTCAAATGGCCCTCCTCGTAACCACACATATTTAAGCCAGCACGAACACGGAGGGTGATGTGGGTTATGACTCTGTGTGGCATCCTGCCCCATGGATTTCTCCCATTTGCCATATGAAAACTAATGGATGTGTCCGTGGGAGATAAGAAGCTGCCCTGTGGCAGGCAGCCCCAGATTTCCGTATAGAATCCACTATTTAATGTAGGTGTTCTTAATGGTTGCTTAATTAGTAAACTCAGACAATCCCACTCGACTCGGGTCCCTGAGTGAGAATCTTGTTCTAGCAGTGAACTTGCATCTGGCTGACTACGGCCTACACGGCGCCCTGTCTCCCTGGCAGCTTTGGGTTACTGGGTGTTGGGGGGGGGTTCAGCTGTTTGTTAGTGTGCTTTTCATGCCCGTATTTACCAAGTCTGTTCCTGGCTTGTTTTCCCTTCCACCCTCCCTGGGCACTCAAGTCCATGGGTCCTTGACCTTGTGGGGCCACCATCTCGTGTGGGTTCTCCTTCAGACAGCCATCCATCATTTCCCCTGACTTCAACGCAAGCCCTGACACACTTGGTAAGTAGGCACAGCTGCTCTGTCATCTACAGGGACTCACACTTCACCTGCTCCAAGCCCTCTGTTGTCACTGGCTTAAAAGGCCAGACAGCTAGAATGTCTGGATAAACTCGTTTCAGCTCGCTATCATCATGGCCTCAAGCCAGCAACAAATCCTATGTGTTTTCAGGGGAGGTCACAGGATTTCTAGGATTTGGCTCTTCCCACAGCTTAGAAATTTCTTTCACCTTCCCTTTATGTTTTAGAATTAAAAAAAAAAAAAAAGAAAGAAAATCCCATCTCAATTCAACAACAGGAGAGAGAAAACGTACTTAAACCCAGAATGTTAAATACTCTGGATATAGTGTAAGTTCCAAATCAAACATTAAATTACAAGGCAAATATTTACTCTGAAAGAGTTATGCCCATGTTGATGGCTTACCTTCTCCACAAACTGATAAATTAGTCACTGTCAAACTCACAAATACTCCTGCTTAGTTGTCTCACTTTGCTAAAAGCACATGAGGACCACTCTTGAGGTCGAAAGCATGACATCCGAAAGGCCTAATTTGATGTTTGAGCTCTGTTTCACCCAGAAGAACGTTCTCCCACACTGCAAAACCTTCTAGATGTTAAGTGTGAGATTTTCCTGGGCTTGACCCGAGCACGGACATCCTGACATCTTTCAGGAGGTCTTAAAAAACATTTTTTTTCTTTTGCCTAAAATACAGAGAGGAAATGTGTTCTGTGTCTTTCCTCCACCATCACTCACACTCTTTGCTTTATTCACTTCCTTAATTTGATTACATTGCTTCTGCCTTTTTTTCAAACATGGGCAGACGTTGAGTAACAGGTGCAATATGTCAGCCGTGGTGTCCAGGTCTCTCAGCTCTACCAGCATTCTGTGCGGACCCGTGACCTCCTCCCCCAGGTCTTCGGCATGTGGACCTTGCATTTCAACAGCTCATGCAGCCAGATGGAATTCTCATGTCCTGCCGCAGGAACTGCCGTCTTTACCCGTTACCGATGGCAGCCCGCACAAACCAGAGGCACAACCCGTTTTCCTTTGTGCCTGAGCTGAAGGGCAAACTTTTGGATTTGATAAGAATTCCTTAAAATGTCAGTGTTGAAACAGTGACGAAGCATCAAGCTTCCTCACCACAAACGCTCCCCACCTCCTGGGTCAACGATGACCAATAGTTAGGCAGCCCGCCCTCATAATGTGCAGACTTTCCCAAGTAATGCACACGCAGGACTCCAGTGTTCCCATTTGTTCCCATTCTGCAGCTGAGAAAACTGAGGCAGACGAGATCAACCAACCTGGAGAGTCTAGTGCAAAAAGCTATATGTTTAATGGCCACACCAGCAGATGGAGCACCCGGTAGGATTTGTGCAAGACATGTGATCAGCAAGTTCCCTTCCAAAGGCAGAAAATTTGGCAAACTTTTATGGCTGCATTTCTCTAACCATCTTGAGACGACCTTCACCTGAAAACTCATGGCAAGCTGACTGTGGACCGAGTTACGACTCGATTTAGAGCCCCCTGAGCAATGGTTGCATTGTCACTGTCTAGAACTCTGTGTGGTTTAGATCTCGTTTGTGGGGGACTGTCTAATTAGACAGTAAATTCAATTTTTTTTTTTTGAGGAGGCAATTCATTGGCAATTTTGATCCAGTTTATAATAAATACTAAATTAGCAATGAATTCAGAAGCAAAAGTTCCTCTAAATAAATCAATATTGGGGAAAAGCAGGTAGCCCTTTAATGGCCAAGATTATAAATAGTTTTTTATCTAAATATATGCCCACAATAACATCCGTTAAATCAAGGCAAATAGGGTTGACCTCTCTCATGGGTCCTTGTGAGAAACAGTCAATAAAAATGTATTATGCAGAATTCTTAGTCCAAATTTATCCCTTTGCACAACATTTCCAAATTTTTAAGCTGCTAATAATGTTCCAAAAATAAACCTTCCATCAGTTCAAGCTAGCACCTTTGTCTGAGAAAAAAATAATAAATGCATTGCATACAAGCAGTTAAAAAATCAAAACTACAGCAAGCTCAGGAAGCATCTCTATAGGGAGTCCTTGCAAATGGTAACATAAGTCCCCATGCAAATCCACTTCTGTCAGCTATGTCACAGATGCCAAAAAAAGCGGGCACAAAAAATATGGAGTATATAGATATAAAACAGCAATGATGTCACGCTGGAGGATTTATAAGCTCCTCCATTCCTTGCTTAGAATATGGACAATGCAAAAGCCTTTAAACAATTCTATCTTCTTACAGGGTCATGGGACATCACAAAAGCAAATATTTTTTGTTTGTGTTGGTGATGGGTAAAAAAAAAAAAAATCTCTTAGAAAAAAGCAACTGCAGTTTGCACATTATCTATAACACGCTGGTATTCAAAGACCGAGTTTTCAAAAGAGAAAAGTCAATATCAGAGTTGCCATCTGGCAGATTCCCTGTCCAAGTCACCCTGGAATCCTGTGTGAGCATCAGTTACATTGCAGTGCTACACATTTGGGGCATCATCCTCTGGACCCCGCCTCTGAGCTTGGACCCAACAACAAGCTGATGGCCTTCATGAGCCCCAGGGCGTCCACCTCTGGGGCTTCGGTGCAACGTCTCCGCACCTCCAGTTCCTGACATCCTTCTCTTGGCACCCACTCCCCCCACTCTCCCCACCCCCAGCCCCAGCCCCAGTGAGCGCTCATTCCCATGAGCGTGCCAAGCCTCCGCCCAGCAACCTGGCTATTCTTGGCAGGGTCTCTGTGCTCCTCTGTCCTGGATGTCCCATCCAGTGGGCACGCTACCTGGCCTCAGAATCCTCCTTTTGTGCAGGCCCTTCTCGCAGGCTTGTCTCCAGGGGAAGGAGTGGAAGAAAGGCTGGCCCACACAGCCGACCTGGCCCCTCAAGAACATCTATTGAAACGGATTGATCTAATGCCTCGCATCTGCTAAGCTGTCATTCAAGCCAGGGGGGATTTGGACGGAGACAAGGAGAGCATCGTAAAAATGACTTTGTGATCTAGTTTATGAAGCTTGCCTTGAACTCCTAGGTACAGTGAGGGCAGAAAACCTTGTTTCCTTCGCATAAATGGGAAAATGTACTATATAAGGAACAGTGAATATTCTCCCTTGATTTGTGCCTGAAACATAAGAGTTGGGGGGCGGGGAGGGAGATATCCCAGCTGTCTACTGCATTGTATGAACATATACATGCATTTAAATTACTTATATCATTACTTACAGATGTAATTGTGAAATATGTTCTTTTTGCATTCAAAATGAGGGACTGAACAGATGGCGAACGCTCAGTTTAAAGCAATGTGTCCATTAAAATAACCCGTACTCTTGGTGTTTAGTGTAACCATAGCAGTGAGTTCATTATCACAGGATTCTGCCCGCGCGGGCAGGAGAGTCCGGAAACGCTCAGCCACCTAGGTGATGCCGGTTCCAAGCCCAGGCCACTTTCCCACAGCTGCCGGCCACCAGCCGTGGGCTTTCGGAGTCGAACTCCAGTTGTTTTGCTTTAGTATTTTGCTTCCAAATAGGAAAGTCAATAAACAGCTGACATTTACCAATGCCTTGCTTCTGGGTTATTTTTTTTCTCTACTCTCCAGATGTGCTGAAATGTGTGGCTCCAGATGCATCACCTCCAACAGGATAATCCTGCTCCCGCCAGGAGTAACTATCTCGCCTAATGAGCCTGGGTCAGGCGTACGGGCTAACGGCACATCAGAGAGCTCATCGCTCTTCTTGGGGCTCAGCAAGGACCACCAGGAAGCAAGGTGTCTGCTGAATGGCTGGAGGGGTTCCCCAACGGAGCCGTGCCTTCCCAGACCCTGCCCTGACAACGGCTGCCCGTCTTCCGGCGTGGACCACTCCTTATGCGGGTATTCTATTAAAGAAAGGAAAATAAACACCCTCACTCCAAACCCCCAAGGATTTCCATTTTGGCAACAGTGCCCGTGGTGAATATCCTCTAGAAAACCATTCATAAATAAGACAGAGAAATGCTAAATTTTCTCTGAGCACCCAGAGTAGGAAAGAGAGTGAGAAAATCTCACTGTGTGGCCTTGGATAGATCCATTACATACCATCGAGTCAATCTCTCCATTGTTAAAATGGGACATAATGGCTACCGTGCGTCCCTCCCGTGACAGGGAACGATCCAGTGTATTTCCTGGGGGTGGCAG